TCCCCCCCCCCCCCCCCCCCCCCCCCCCCCCCCCCCCCCCCGGCCTCCACGACGCTACGCCACTGGTAAAGAATCGCAAAAAGAAATTAGACTTGGAAAGAAAGTCTCGATTAGCCTCGTCAGGGTTGTTTTCCGCCCAAAGTAGCGCCTTTCTTCCACATTTCTGCACCGAGAACAAGGAGGCTTTCGGGGGAGGAGGGGGGAGGGAGGGTTCAATGCTTCAATTCCTTTCCTTCCCCCAGGGCAGGTTCGAGTGCCTAGAATGAGGGAAAATGTGATCAGTAGAATGGGATGTTCCCTTGGACCTCCCTTTCAGATTCCGACCTCCCGAGTCCGAGAGCATTCATTCCATGGACGTACATGGAAGGACATGCACGGGTGCACCCCAAGGAAATGGTGCAGATGTCCTTGGGATGCAATCGGGTGCCAGGGGACATCCGAAGGACGTCTTTGGAGAACATCACAGGGATATAGATTCGGGCCATACCCAAACGGGATGCCCCGAAGATGATCTGTTGCTCCTTGGGGAGACAAAGGACGCGCAGATAAGACGGGGAAGCTAGTTTAATCTCTATTCCGTTTTTGTCAGTTCGTTCTTTCTCTCCTTCCTCGTACGAAGAAACCTGGAAAGTGTGTCTATCTTAGTTCCACTGTGGGTCGATCGATGGTTAGGGGACCAACTAATCGTAAACTTTCTTAACAACCTGACCTCGGGCAATCTCCATATCCTTTTTCGTGTTTTGTCACTGGCTAAAGCAACCTATTGGTCCTGCATTCGACAGTCCGGGGCTTTCACTTCCGCTCAGAAGACATGTCTTCAATCCAAAGAGAAGAATACCTTTAATGGCAGAAAGTGAGCCGAACTCTATTCGCTATTTATTGCCTTTGTCGTGAGAGCGGAAATGGACCCGAGGAATTCTGGGATTGACGGCCTGCATGAGGCTTAGAGGTTAGAACAGAACAGGACTGGTTTTCCTCCAAATATTTCAAGCTGTCAGATTGTAAACTCGTATGTTCTGTTGCAGGGAGGGTAGAGCTCCAGAAAGCATAATCTTTCTTTCCTCCCGTCTTTCTTTCGAGGCCTGTGTTACAGCGATTTAATTGGCTCGTCGCGGAGAAAACGGAAACTGTTTGCATCCCAGTCTTCTCATGAGTTCTTACCCAATAATATAGTGAATGTAATCCAAGGAAAGTACAGGTGTACATCACTATTTGAGATCGGATTGAAGTGAAGCACAACGTCTAAGATGGGAGCCTCATGGTCAGTTCGAAAATACGTTGAAAGTCACCTCTACCATCCTAGTGAAAAAAAATGTTTCGAGAGATTACTCTGGATGACGTCAGTTCCTTCTCCAAGTGGAATTCACTAAAGGCCCTTAAAGGGATACATTTTGCTCCTCAAGTGGGGTTCATTCAGAGGAACTCTTCTTGGTATCTCCGGGTCGGGAAACGTTTTTAGCCTAGTGAATATGTTTTGATGCGTTGTGCCAATTTCTTCGAGGATTTGGCACGCCAGATGGAAACATAGTCGCTGGGGAGGAAGAAGAGGAAGCGCCACGAAAACTGGGTCGTCGAGGAATGAAAACTACGTTTGAGGAACGTCGATCACAAGGGTAACCTTTCATTGTCCGAATTCAAAGGAAACGCACAAAGAGAACGGAGAAAGAAAGAATTCGTTCCTATGTAATTTTTGTCGAAAAGGTGGCGCTTTTTGGCACTGACGGGAGAAAGAATTGAAGGAGAATCGTTTGATTTGAGCGGAAGGTGCGAGCGGAAAGGCCCTTCACCAAGGGCCCCAATTCATAGAATATCGACAAACAGCAGCACCAGTCAAACATTCCACCGATTCCACGATTCGAGTTCATCATTGATGATCCGCATCGTGTGAAACACGCAACATAGTAATCATGCTGACACTCTCCGTCTTCATCTATCCGGGCCGAAGTGGAATCAAAGGAAGACACACAGAAAGAGTCCTCGTTCTCTAATGCTGCACAATTCGTTAATTTGGCCCCTGAATGCACACGTGGAAATCGCGAACATCATGGGATTCCGCGTAGTAGAGTTGAGCAAAGAAAAGTCTCCGCAATTCTTTAAACGTCAAGAATGCGTGTGAAGGATGCAGACGTTTCACGTCACGCTAGCTGCGATTCCCTGCCCTTGACCTGTCGCTGGATCGCCATTTACAAGACAGAATACGAACGTAGGTGCGTCGAAAGGAGGCATTACAGAGGGCGTAACACATGGGGTTCACCGTGCTATTGATGTAGCACAAGTAATAGCAAAAATTATACAGCTCTTCCGGGACGCAGTATTCTTCGCAAGCGTAAAGATTTTTTAGAAGAACCAGGACGTTGTACGGAGTCCAAGTGATGATGAAGGCCAACAGAATGGCCGATAAAGTCTTGGCTGCCTTTCGGTCCTGCAAAAAAAAGAGCAAAAATTCCCTCTCATTGGATGAGGAGCTGACCTATACAGTATATTGATGGATCCTTGACGATCGAGGAGGAAAGGCTCGCCTGTTTTTTTTCTTGGGGCTTCTTCTTTTTCTTCGGCTGCTGTTGAAGTTGATGCGGTTGCGTGTTGAGCTTGGTCATATGTTTAGGAACGATGCGGACATTGAGTGGGATCTGAAGGTCTGGGAGTGCAGAGGGCCGCCTGGGAGGGGTGGGGGATGTCGACCTCTCTCCTCCTACTTCCCGTGGGAAGAAACTTCCCCGCCTCAGAGCCGCTATCGGGGAGCCTGGAGGATATGGCCTTCTCGGGATCCTAATGGTAACAGCGCAACACATTACGTTTCCTTGCCGTTCCTCCAACCATCCAAGGTTAATGGAGACAGACTATCAGCTCTGTTAGTGCGTTACTCTATTTGAAGCTAAGGGCTTCCTCTCCCTCCCCTTCGTCCTCGGCGTCTCTCTCTGGCTGGCATCGCGCCAGTTTGACCCTCCTCCCTGCGATTTTTCTCCCCCTCTCCCCTAAAATGAATCTCTGATCTGGGAAGAGGGAGGGGCCTGGGGGTTTCTTTTTCTCTTTCCCTTTCGCCAGTGCCCTATTTTTTGGCCTTCGTTGACAATTACTCTACAGCTCGTCAAGGATTGACCAAGTTCTAATTGCGGTTTTCCCTTCCCCGTACAGTACAGTACGGTCTAAAGAGCTCTACGATCATTTCGTAATGAAGTTTCGGGAAAGTTTCTGACCGAATTGCTCGGGAACTCTGACGGAACTCTACCTCCTTTGCATTGGGGCGGGGAGAAGGTTCCTTCAAATTCTTTATGATAATATCGAGGAGGAAGAAGCGGTAGGAGCCACCCGCTTCCTTATTCAAGCAATTATCCCTCGTTCCTCTTCTTCACGGACCCAATTAGGGGAGGGGGAGGGGAAGGAAGTTCCCTAATGTTCCTTGCTTAATTGAAAAACATCTCGCTCGAGAGTCAACTTTCCAGGAAGCAAGAACTGAACATCTTTATCGAGTTTGAGTCTCTCGCGAATTCCAGCTCGTTTGCATTCTCATTAGCAACAATTATCTACATCCTGTCTGTTTGCTTTCTTCGTATACCTGGCTTTGATGGAGTCGTCGGAATCATTGTCGTCGTTGAGAGGCGTTTCTTCGCTGATCATCCTAATGGATGGACCGGAATCCGTAGCCGAACCACTGGTGGTCGTGGTTGCAGGGAGTTGGATGAGGATCGTATAGACGGAATCCGAGGAATGCGATCGTCGAGCGGGGCGATGATGAACGGATGAAGATGCCGAATGAGAGGTCGTGGCCGGCCTTCTTTCCAGGTAGTTCATAGAGGGCAATCGAGAGACGGCCGTGTCCGTGGAAACGGGAGTCCCGCTTCCGAGCCCCCCGGAAAGTGCGGGGAACTTCTTCCTCAAGAAACCCGGCTGTTCGGTGTCGCTCGCACTGCCGCAATACCCGCTGCTGCTTCCGCTGCTCTCTCGACCGAACCATCCCTTCCACCATTGACGTCGTCTTCTCCGAGCCTGGAATCGAAAGGACGCATTCCGCGTCTGTGGAAGTACAAAATTATAACGCTCCATTAAGTAGTTGTGCAATGTACGCCTTTCTCGAGCAAATTCTCATTCTCAGAGTTCACGCTCGCGCAAGAACGTCAAAATTTGTACACTTCCTTCCTTACTCCAAGGCTTCTGAGCCTAGGAAGTTTCACTCGTATTTTGTACCGTCACGATACAAACCGATGCATAAATTCTACAGAGAGATGGCCGAGGATGATTGACTTGAAGCAAGATATTATCAGAATGTATAAAAATAAAGAGAAAAACTATTTCACAACCAACTTTCTATCTTGTTTTTTGTTTTGAAAAGAAAACCCACTTTTTTAAATAGACCGAAAAAAGTCTTTTGAAAATGAAAAGGAATTACGTTACTGTATAGAAGAAGGAAGTGTGAAGTCTTTCATACGAATTGGAATCCCTTGAAGATCGGACTGGAAATATCGTGAAAACTTCTTATTTTATGGTTTTCCTGCATAGACAGGGATTTTATTGCCAGTCTGTAGGCTAAGTTCCTGCGAGTACTTTTGTTTTTGCTTAAGATTGTCTTGTGAGTCGCCAAGACACGGCCCTAGCATGGACGTACAAGAATTTAAAATATGGGCTCGACTGAAAGAAAAACTTTAAAAGTTCAACTTCAGGGGGAAAAAGTTTTCTCCACACTTCTCGATGCTTCTTCTGACCTTTAAATGGCGCAGTTGGGGATCTGCTTGTTCTTGTTTTCTTTCTGGTATCGAACGGATGAGGTGCCGATAGACACATCTCGTTCTGGAGAATGTGCCATTTGGGGGAATTTATTGCTGCACTTCCGTGGTTCTACACCAGTAAAACTACAGGGCTGACCTCGACAAGATACCAATAAGCTGATTTTGTGTTACCGGTGCTCCTTTCAAAGGTATCACAAGTACTGGCCTACCAAAAATGCTAGCAATGAAGTAATGAAAATATATTTAAAATTGAGTCATGTGCTGATTCGCACGAAAATGTGGGTGTTTTTTTGGTAGTAGTGTTTTGCTTAGGTTGAAGGTTGAGGTAGGGACGTCAAGAGGCGTTTCTGCCCATTAGGACGACCCGTGTCAAGGTGGTAGCAGGGGGCCTAGAATATTAGCAAAGATACACCAACCAGTTTTGGCAGGTGAGGTGCCAATAAAAGTCTTGAGGGCGTTCCTCTTAAAAGGTAATAGGATTGAAACAATACTGGCAGTCCCGATCAGTCCTTTTTTTTATAGAGAGGTACTGACTCCATTTAAACGATAAAGATATGCTTCGACTCATCTTCAACAAAGGATATGCATCTCAGGCCAACTGAACGACGGCTCAAAATACTGAAATGTACTTACCAAAGAAAATTCAAAAGATGCCTGTTATATCAAAAGTATTGCACTGATTTGAATGACTGCAAAATTCACCGGAAGCAAATACCTAAGGAGTCCTCTTCACGGAAAGTACTCAAGTTCCAAATACAATTATCATTGGAATGCATTCAAGTACAGTACGAAACAATTTGAATGTGAAGTATAAAGTTGCAAAAAGGGGCCGAACGTGACACGTGGAGAGAAGCAAGGGAAACGGTTGCTTGGAAGGCTGGTCTCAACTCCAATAAACAGAAACTGGGAAATCACGTTTTCAAACTTTTTTTTTTCAACTTTTTAGCTGCTGTGATATGAAGAGATTTGAAGAATGCTCCTCGGACAAATGATCCTTTTTCATATTGAAAACCCCGAGGCAAATGCAGCCCTTGTTTTAAAAAATATATTGAAGGAAATTTTTCCATAATATATTTCTAAAAATGCCAAAGTTTGCTGCGCGTTCCCTTGCTAGTGAGAGATTCGTAAACAGATACAAGGGTCTTGGCTAAGTGCTTGCGCAAGAAAATGTCATTTATTGCATGCTAGACAAGGGTGCCTGTGGGACACTGGAGAAATTCCGCTAAGCCAGGGATAAAAAGAAGCCCAAGTATGAAAAATAGGGTGTGGAAAACATGTTATTCACGACCTCAATAGTATTTTCAGGGATGGGGGGGGAACAGGAAAGCAAAATTCCTAAACTTGCGGCCTCAAAGGCCAAAGGCCTTCACTGAGGCCATTGGGACGAAAATTTCCCTTGGGAAATTAAGGGGTGCCTTTGTATATAATATTCAATACCTTAAAAAAACAGCTAAGGGCAAGACTGCGCATGCGTGCTGAGTAGCAACCGCTTCCATAAGTAGTTGTGCTGAACACAGCTTCATGCAGCTCTAATGTGTCACCACGTTTCAGCGATTAGGGCAGTTTTCAAATATCGAAACTATTGCAAATAATTGGCTTAACCCTTTCACTGCTACATTCTTTTTCTTTACTGTGCTGTGCTGAGTTTTTTTGCTTCATGTGCACCATGGCGTGCTCTGTTTATAAAGAAACATGTTCCCTAACATTATATAGGCCTAAGCATTATATTAGTGAATAACTGGAATGGCACAGATTGTCCTGAAAACTCTCAGATAAGACGCACAGGAAGAGAGACACTTCCGCAATCGAGTTAACTCGTTCGTAGCATTTAAAGAGTTCATTTCAATCTAGTCGTCGATGGCAAAGTCGAAAAATCAAGCTAATTGGCATAAGGATAATTGTACCTGTGAAGCAATAAGGGCCAGTCAAATGAAAGTGGGCCAGGGTGCTCTGGATACATACCGTGACATATATATGGACATACGCCCCGCCGGCGTCGAGGCACTTCTCCCATTGTGTCACAAGCTGCTGCAGGGTGTCCTCCTGCAACGTCTGTAACAGCTGCTGCAGAATATCCCTAACTGCTTCCTTCACCTCGTCGTCCGAGAGGAAACGCTGGCTTTCAGGTCCCGTTTCAGTGCCTTGAAGATCTGGAAATCGCAGGGCGATAAATCGAGCCAATGTGTTGGATGCTGTAGCACCTCCCAGCCGAATGTGCGCAGCGTGTCCATGTCACTCTGCGCTGTGTGTGGTCGGACGTTGTCGTGGAGGAAGATGACTCCATCGGTCAAGAGGCCTGGGCGCTAGTTCTTCATCGCGCTGCGTAAACGGGTCAGTGTTTGGCAGTAACGTTCGGCGTTGACTGTGTGTCCATGAGCCAGAAACTCAACGAGCAATGGCCGATATGTGCTCGATGTATCGCCGTGCGATTTCCAGATCATCGGGGCACTGAAATGGGACCTGAAAGCCAGCGTTTCCTCTCGGACGACGAGGTGAAGGAAGCAGTTAGGGATATTCTGCAGCAGCTGCTACAGACGTTGTAGGAAGACACCTTGCAGCAGCTTGTGACACAATGGGAGAAGTGCCTCGACGCCGGCGGGACGTATGTCCATAAACAGGGTGTTCGTATTTAAACGCAACATAGGGATTATTTTGCCGCCTGTCGGTAGAGAACGCTATGAGGCCCACCGGGTTGCCTATCTGCAAGGAAACACACCAATAAAAGATTTCATCCTTCCAGATATGCAACCTGGTGAGCGATAAGGCACTCGCTGAACTCCACAAACAGATGGCAAACATTTCTCTATGTTGCGTTTAAAAACGAACACCCTGTATATGTCATGATATGTCTCCAGAGCACCCTGGCCCACTTCCATTTGACTGGCCCTTGTACCTGAGCAGGCTATATGAAGTGGAAATTGAAATACGTCCCTCAACTACCTGCATCAACAGAAGCAGGCCTGCCTCGAGTACTCTTATGCAAAGGTACTTCGATCATGGGAAACGTATTCGTGCACCGGCATCCTTGAGTTGAGAATTGCCTTATTGTACCGTGAGTGAGGCACCAAGGGACCGGCCTTGCATTTACAGTGTTTTCGTCATAAGTTAGTGCTGGTAGGCCCGAAATACTTTCAGGGAAGCATTAGATAAATCTGAAGGTAGGAAAAATGCACGAGGTGCTCTTAAAAAGTGGTGATCGCATCGCAGCGGCGCAGCTCCTTCGTCTCTCCAGTCTGAGCAGTGCAATGTTCGCTGCTTTAATAGGTGTGTTCTCTACATCTATGAGAATTACAACTTTTTTTTGTCTAATGTTATCATATTTTATCCAGACGTATTTTTAATTGCCAGAATCGACTGAATTAAAATTTAAAAAAGAGACTGTCATTACTTTTTTTAAACTATAAAGGTGATATTGCTACCAGCATTCACGAGCAGTTGGAAGAATTGTTCGGAGGGTCTGCCCTTCCAGCAAAGGGCGGTTTCCAGGTGGGCAAAGGGATTTCGAGAGAGGCAGCCCTTTATTTCTCTTTACGGATTAAGTACGCCAAAATGTGAAAAATAACGAACGTAGTGTTCACAAGTGCAGAAAAGATCTGAGATAAAAGGAAAGTTTATGGAGATGCGAAACTACGTACATGCACCTCCCATCGGCTAAAATTACACATTTGGGTGGAGGAGTTACAAGTTCGCCAGCCTTCTACAGATTGCATTTTACAGGAAGTGACGATTTGCATACAGAGCTTTATAAAATTTAAAAAAGTAAAGCATTTCTCGTGCTTATGTGGGGAAAACAAAGGCAGGAAAGTAGAGGTCCAAAACCCTTCGGTACGACCAGAAGGCGAACGTAAGAATCTTTTATGAAATCACTCCTCCCCCCCCCCCCCAAAAAAAAAAAACCAGAAATTTATGATCTCAGGGGGACGAAGACACGGGTTATTTTAATCAGCATCTACAATCATGTCCTCTGTGAATAAATTGCTGCTCGGAGCTCAATCCTTCTTCATAAACAAACTTCTCACGGTAGGATAGCAATGAAGAGAGACTCATGGCCATGTGAAAGACATTAAAACCAGACTTGACGGTAGACCTCACGACATTTTCATAACATAATTGAATTCCGGATTCGTATTCATGAATGCGGATGAAAAAGGGAATCATGGCTTTGAACCGAAGAAACGGGTGTTTGCAAAAGTGAACACTTTCATGGCTATCGGACCATGAAAGAATCAGGCAGGTCATGATTCTTCACCGACTCTCATTAAACCTCGTGAACTTTCATTAACTTTGAAGTAGATGGTCCTCTCTATCATTTAAGCCAACACGTGACGCAAAAAAATTCCTGGGGATCCGAGCCAAAAAAGCACAGTAGACAATCGCAGCATGTCGCTTCCTGTGCTATACATCAAGTTCGCACGATAATAAATTCATTCATTTCCGTTCTTGACACACCACTGCAGACGTGCAATAAATCGCGATGGGCAGCGATGGAAACCTGGGGCGAATATTGCGAGCTTGGAGCATGGCGCAAGAAGCATCGTGCCAAATATGATCCAAGGTCAGATATGAACTTAGACCTCGAGTCACCGGTGAACCAGCTGATCCAGATTTTTGTTCGCTTCATTGAATGGCTTAGTTGATTGAGAGTAATACAGGGCGTCCCAAAAGGTATGGAAAGATTTAAAAAAAATTAATATATCTTTTAAAATACCTCAAATCAAATTATTAGAACCGTAAAGAAAGAATAACTAAAAAATTTTTGTTATCTGTTATTGCAATTCCACGCGGACCCACTTGCGAGTTTGAGTCTGAACCACCGTGTTTTATGAGAAAAATGTGAGGTGGGGATAAGACTCGATTCTGAGGGAGAGGCTGGGGCAGTGCTTTGCAATGCTCGATGTTTTTGTTGGCGCTATTGCCTTGTTTACTTCGTTTTTGGCTTGATAATTCAATACGATGCATACACTGCTTCGTACCGAAGGGTTTTTGATGCATATATATCCTTTGCATATACATTCTTTGCCGCTCCATGAATTCCGGTCTGCTCGCCTCAAGGTGGTTCTCATTTATATTTTTTTTTTTACGAACAGGCATCTTGAGGGGATAAGACCCGGTTTCAAATCTCGGTAATGGACTACGAGTTTTTTTCAAGTGGAAGCCGCACTCAGGTCTGCCTTAATTCATCTCGTGGGCTCTTCACCTTGGCAAGTCGTTTGGGATCGATGGAGAGAGACGTAGGAAGGATGACAGAATCGATTTCATCTGGGTTACTTGATTCGGATCTCGCTCTCTTCCAATCCTCGGGATCTCCAACTTCGCCTCCGCCTCCGCCCCCGCCTCCAACCGCTTCATCGCTATTATGGAAAGAGGAGAGAAAGGGGAAAATAAGAGTGAATGGAATTAAGGTAGACATGTAACCAGAGAATGGACCGAGGAGGGAGGGAGGAAGGAAGAAAGAAAACTGTCTTCCATGCTCAACTTAGCGAGGTCGAGAAAGGAAGTTCTTCTGATTCCATTCCATTCCATTCCAATCCATTCCATTCCATCGAAGAGGAAAGAAGAGGGAGATAGAGCGTGATGGATGACAGGCTAGCCCAGAGTCCTGCTCCGAAGGGAAAGGGAAGAGGAGGAAAATTCCCTTCTCTTCCTTTTCCTCTCCTTACTTTTTTCCTCTTCCCGTGGTCGTCCTTCTTGCCTAGTGCCTAGGCTCTTTCCCCTCATTAGACTTCCCAGGATCAATCCGTTAATCTGTTTGACCTTTAATACACGTCGAACGAATAATCGGTGGGGGGCACGACCGTGCCAGATCAGCTCCTGTCACGCGGATGGTGCTACTCACATCTCCTCCAAAGCCTCTCTTTGTTTCCATTTCATAAGCGGTTGGATAGGGATATAATATAATATTGATATACTATCGCGGGGACTGAAAAGACAACGACACGTTAATGGGAGATTTTGTGTAGGAGAATGGGAGAGAAGAGAGATCGATGGTAGGAAGGAAAGGGGGTAAGAACAATGCAGGAGGAGAAGCAGCCTCCCTCACACACTCACATTCATCGATCTCTTCTCTCCTCCTCCTCCTCCTCCCTTCCCCGTCTTCTCCTTTCTTCGTACCCTCTCTTACTCCTCTGGCTTCCTCTTTCTCTGCCGCTCCTTCATTCATATCTGGAGTGCGAGTAGCTCTCAAGGCTTGGCCAACTCGGCCAACTGTTTCCCCCTCCCCCCGCACCTAATCCCGCAAGTCTCCTATGATAATAGTTTATTTCTGACCCGGTATCCACGCGACATCCTTAGGTACAGGGTGAGGTGAAATCGCCGCCAATTGGCCCATTACGTGGTGTTTAGGTGTGAGAATATTTAAATTCTTGGATCAGGGTCAGGCGCGGCTTTGAACTGCCAACTCCCTAATAATAATTATTATTCTTCATTGCTTCTCCAGCAATCATGCTTCGCTGCTAAAAACTGAAAAACAGTCATACGTGCGGGGTGCGAATTTTGCTCTACATAAAAGCGAGTAGGCAGTGGGGCTGAATTCATCACAGAACAAGTGCCAGACTCAATCTGACGGCTCAGTCCTAGGCATGGCGTATGGCGATCATGGTGGCTGCGACGCTATACACTGCATGTCAAAAAGACCCATACGTATTCCGGAGAAGCAGTAGATCTACTCCAGGCGCAAGTCACCTCAGCGGATTTCAATCTTTAAGTGATCGCTGCGACGCATAATGTTTGAATAAAACATACCCGATAGAAGATAAATATCTTGCATTTCCCTAACCAATGCATCAAGCTGAAGGAGGTATGAGGTTTGCTTTTTCTCCCTCCTTCGTCTTCATTAGCAATTCAATTATAAGAGAAGTCCTGAGAAAATGAATTTGACATTGAAGTGCCCTAATTCAAAAGCACAGAAGCAAACATCTCATGTCTGCCTACGTGTACGCATTTCCATAGCCACCGAAATGATAAGTGGTTCGTAGAAGCATTGGGCAGTTTTGCATACTCGGGCTGGACAAGTTTTTCTCAGCGCCTCAATCTTTTTCCATCGGGTGCTGATACTGATTCGAGGTTACGTGCAATCATTGTCATTATACTCATTGATATGGATGAACTGAATGTAGAGTAGCACGACACGATAATGAGAGAACGCTAAGAAAGCCAGAACAGACCCAAATTCAAACATTTTCCCTCTGCACGCGCGAGATATGTTTGCTATTCTATACGAATCGAGAGTAGCGAACGCCTGAATGAACGAACAAAAAAGTTCCCCAGAAGCTAGATTTGGCGTCCTTTCATCTGATAGAACCATTCAGGCTTTCCTCCAGGATGGGCAGTGAATGATGTCGTAAGACCTATGAATTCTATTCTTATCTGTCTTCATGCTGCTCCTCGCTATATAAACCTACCTTGATTGGCGGAAATGTCATCCGCGAAAGGCTATTAGCTGATCTTGATCGTCACGCAACGACTTCCCCTCCTAGCATACCTGGAATGATCCGACGACCACGTGTCCGTGCGCGCTCATTTCCTGGTTCGAGTTTCATTTTATCGTGCTTCCTTTTTTGGGTCGACAGAACACTGTTCCCGCAAAGTTAGTTTGTACGCAACAGCGAAACAAAAACAAAATCATTTCTTAGACCAGCAGCGTCCAGGAGCTTCGGGAAAGCAATGAACTTCCTCCGATCCAAAATATCGAAAAGCTCAAGTACGAAGGCGTCTTTTAAGGAAAATTCAACAATCTACATGATTCCTGGACGATGACGTCGGTGATGATAAAACTGGGAAATGGAGGGAGATAGAATGAGCTATTGAACCATCCTCTATCTTTTTGAAATCTCTCCTACCCTTCCCGTCGACCGTCCTCTTTCCTTTTCCACCAAAAGGCAGTTGACCGTGATAAAAGGGGAAAAGGGGCCTGAAGACTCTTGAAAAGGATGAGAGATAGAGGAAGAGAGATTCTTTGATTAGAAGGGGTCAGAAAATCTCATTCTACTCATGTCTTTCTCTCTCTTCCCCCAATCAACTAAACTCTTCGCTTGCCGTCCTTACCAATCTTCTCTTTCCGCCTTTAACTGAGCTAATTTTTTTCTTCCTCTCTTTGTCACGTCCTTCCTTTGTCTCCCAAGTCATGCAGGGATAATGCTCGGGACAAACCTGGAATTCGATCGTCGGCTGGAGTCTCGTTGATCTGCTTGGAGTTGGCTGAACTCTTTCTGGCGCTTTTTGGTCTCGCGCCAGATCTTGTAATAGAGGGCGATCATGACACTAACAGGGAAATAAAAGGCAGCAATGGCTGTACCCACAGTGATGTACATGTTGGTTTCCAGAAATTGGATATAGCACTGTCCTTCGGGCACGGTCCTTTTGCCTTCGATGTATGGCCATGAGTAGATCCAAGGCGGCCAAAGCACCAAAGATATGAGCCAAGCACTGGCTATCATTACGGCTGCTCGTTTTGTAGTCCGTCTTGCACGATACGTTAGGGGACGAGTGACACTGAAATACCGATCGAAGCTGATGATGAGCAGATTTAGTACAGAGGCGTTGCTAGCGAGATAATCCAATGCGAGCCAAGTATCACAGATTATCGGCCCGAACGGCCATCTTCCCACCAGGAGATACACGGTGAACAGTGGCATGGAGATGAGACCCACTGCAAAATCTGCCACTGCCAAACTGAAGAGGAAATAATTGGAGATGGTTTGTAGTTGTTTATCGATCTTGAAGCTGACCATGACCATGACATTGCCGCCGACGGTGAGAATACTCATGGCACCGGCCACCAGGGCGATCATCACCGTTTCCACCGTCGTATAGATATGTGAAGTGTTCGCACCACTCACACCTCCTCCTTCTTCTCCTGAAATGTTTGAATAGTTCTGCCCCATAGGTTCTTGTTCCGGCCATGATGTCGAGGACATCAGCTCCATGCTCCATGGCACCTCGACGTCATTACACTCACTTTCAACCTGTAGGGAAGACGGAAAAAGAAATCGGATGATAGGGATAGGGAAGGAATGGATGCCTGGGAAAAAGCCCAGATGGCCACCAGGAAAAGAATCCCCTAAAACTGGAAAGCCGGGCGATCCTGTAGATGGAGACGTTGAGATTTCACTTTATCGATTTCAGCGACAGGGATTGGAGGATGTTTTTCGTAGAGAATAAAAGCGCAGCCTGAAGCGTAGAGGGAGAAGAGAGGCAGAGGAAGAAGCGGGGCTGCTCGTCTATCAGGGGAGCTAAAGAGGACTTCGTCATCTCTTTTCCAGCTTCCCATCCCCCGGCCTCCCATTCCGTTGCATCTGCGCATTCCTCGTCCTATATCTATACACCTCGTCCTCCTCCTTCTCCTTATCCTTCCTTCCTTCCTTCTTTCCTTTCAACTAAACTCTTGATCAAGTGATCAACTTCCTCCATGCCCCATGAGCCCTCCTTACCATATTGACTCGGATGCCCCCTTTCTCATTCATCATTCTCCGGCCCCGGGGCCCCATGAAATAAGGGGGAAGATGGGCTGGCTGGATTTTCTCCATCTCGGGAAGGAGAATTCGCATAATTGGGAGATCAGGAGGTGGAGAGAGACAGAGAGAGTGGGAGAGAGTGAGAGAGGGAGACAGAGAGAGAGAGAGAGAGAGAGAAAGAGAGAGAGGGAGGGAGAGAGAGAGTGAGAGAAGAGGAAGAATGAGCCTTCCGTGTATCGATCCAGACTAGAGGCTGGACCTCTCCTTTTCCCGGGGCTCTTCCCGTGTATTGGGGATATACCTACGGCCTGTATGAGAAACATCTACACAGGACAAGGGGTCCGTAATCCCTGGGTAAGGCAAGGCTACTTATTCCGTTTTATCCCCATCCTCCCCCCCCCCTCCCCTCCCCCTCCCCTCCCCCTCCCCCGTGCCATTATGCTTGCCCGGAAATGAAGTCACCACAATTGAGGAGATTGAATCTGTTCCCGTCTCCTGTCTCCCAGTGACATTTCTTCCGGCCAATCTTTTCATCGATTTCCTCCGTCTTTCTCTCTCTTTCCCAACCAAATTTCCGCTAATGGACGTTTGTCTTGCGGGATGAAGAGGGGCTTAATGAGACAAATAAGCATTTAGCATGAAAAGGAACCGATTAGTAATAAATGGGTGCCTCTTCATTGACGCGACGATTCCGAACGGTAGGTGGGAAGTGATGGATCAGCATCATAAAACATTGCTGAGAGGCTGAATAGAACCGTAATTGCAAGACAATAGGACTTCTGTTTCTCGTCTGCCGTAATTCTGGTCTATATATCACGGAGTCACAGAAAACAGCTCCCTCTGGGATGTCGCTGCATCCTCTCCACGCTTTATTGTCGTGGAATGAAAGCCTCATTTCATTAAGGAATGAGAAGTTACCCGGCCTTCATTCATCTCTCGAAAACGCAGAGCGATCCCACGAAGACCTCTCTCCCCCCCTCTCCCCCCCCCCCCTCCCCCCAGACGTCGAAAGGATGAGAATCCTCCCAAGAAGTCGAGATGAGGTGAGACAAGTAAGGCCTCGTCTCGTATGTATAACGTCGTTCGAAAAGGAGTAGGAAAAGGGCTGGAGGGATTCTTCAATGAATCTTCGTGAAGGGATGATGGGCTACGTATTGCTCTGTCGAGGCAATCATTCTCGGCATAATGGAATGTCGTAAATCCTTTTTTATGACTCCAGCAGTAGCATTATATGCCATGTGCAAATCAATGACCGGACACTTTCCGTCAAAAGATTCCGGCTCTTTTTCATGGAAGGTCATAGGAGATATAGCCTACAAAGGGCAAGCTGATTAGATGACCGAGATTATCTTGGCTGCTTCCACTGTTATATGGAGCTTGAGTTACCAGGGCCCACGCATCGGGGAGAATGGGTATCCGTCTTCTCTCCGATCGCCTCTCTTATTTCCGATCGATTCAACACCCATACTTTCCTCTAAGTGGATTTATTTCCAACGAAGCAGGGAGGCCATGTCTCGAATATTGAGCGTTTCCATCATTTACTGCTTCTCCCGGTCAGCAGACTAGCACCAACACTAAAACGCTGGCCTCGATGGAATATTGGCTTCTCGTCACTCACCGGGATAGACCAACAAAGTACAGGGAGATGCAGAAACATTCAAGGCTTTCTCATTTTTTTAATTTATGCTCCAAAAACGGTGCGATTTTGCATAAATACTATTCGAAGCCTTGCAATTCAAATGCAACATGTTATAAATTGGGTTTTGAACTTCTTGTCCTTCAAATGGTCTCTGCGGGCTGCAACGCAGGAAAGAAAACGTTTTTCGATGTACTTGACAGTCGCTTCGCACAATGCTGGGATTATCTATTTCTGCATTAATTCTTTCCTCAAGTTCCGGTAATGTGTGAAGCCTGTTTTGGTACACCTTTTATTTCAAATATCCCCACAGAAATTAATTTGGCGCAGTCAGACCTGGAGATCTGATGAAATGCCATCGATGATGTGACCATTGAACTTGGAAAAAAAATTCGCTTTCCAGAGCCGGAAACCATTTAAAGGATCTTCAAAATCTAAGCTGTAATGTGTTGCACTTGACTTGTAAATCCTCGAATAGTATTTGTTGCAAAACACACTGTTTTTGGAACATAAATAAATAAATGACAAAGCATTTACATTGCTTCGATGTTTCTGTCACCCTGTATATAAACATTCCACGCGAAATTCCTGTTTCTCTCTGGTTCTGTCCCGGCTTTCCTCCGAGTTGTTTCTCTGCGAGCCAACGTTAGTAATGGTTTAATCGCGTCTCTAAGTCTGCTCTCTAAGGTCCTCTAAGTCTGCTCTCTAAGGTCATTCCCGGTCGAAGTGAACGCATATGTAAATTCGAATCGTTGGCTCGTTCGGAACGATGTGCGTGTTCGGATGCCATCTTGTTCCTTTTGACGATTCCTGGGTTTATCTGTGATTTTGCTTAAGGCCGAGGAAAAACGCTTATCTGCTTGACCTAGTCCATAAATTTCCTATATCTGCTCTCATCGATTTCATATTTCATCTTTTAACGTGTCGACGCCAAAGTCGTGTCATCGGCATATTTATCTTCGGGAAAAAAACCAGACAAACGATGAATCCCACTCTCACGGTGCGGCGCCCGTTCCGCGTCGACACGGGACCGACACGGGACCGACACGGGATCGACACGGGACCGACCCACGGATGATAGGGCAGGGAGCAAGGGCAGAGAGCAAGGGCAAATGGCAAGGGCAGAGGGGAAGGGCAATCATGCCAAATGAGAGGATCTCGTCTCGAACCCGTCGATCGGAAAGGCCCCAAATAGACGATGACTATCATATCATCATTAGCTAATGGGAAAGTTTGGCAACGTTTGGCGTGAGTTTTCCATGCATTATCTCGATGAACATCAATTAGAAAGTATGTCAAAGGGTCGAAGGGCGAAACGAGAAGGGCGTGCAGTCGAGGATCGTACGGAAGAGACAGAAAATGAGAATCTCGAGTGCAAACTCGTTATTCGTATCGGCAGTTCATCAATTGATCATCGCATTTTCCGACTGGAAATCGTCTCGAAATCCTTCCCGCACTTCGGGGGGCATTTCTTTAAATACACGATCGAGAAGTTAGGATTCTCGTTCCGTCGGGTTCGTTCCTTTTTTTTGCTGCGCTTGCAGCCTTGACGAAGATGAAGAAGTCGCATCCGAGGAATGAGTTAGTCGTTGCCCATGAGCCGATTGCATCGCGTATCGTGAAGACGAGGACAAGAGCATCATAGAGCGAAGTGGGTGAAGCCCAGACCGATGCAAAAACTCTCAGTGCACAATATCGAGTTTTTAAGTCGCTTGCGAAAAGGAGCGATTCGTAAGGGAATTGCAAGTAAAATTTTCTCGGTCTTTCCCTGGTAATTTTGTCCGGAACATATTTGGCTCTTTCAGTGCAAAAAAAAAAGCGATTCAACTTTCGAGCGAGGCCAATAGCGGATCGAGCAAGACACTGTCAAGGTTGTCTTTCCATCATTAAGAAATTAAGATATTTTCATTAAGCAGCTCCACGGAGATTCATGGTTTCGTCCGAAAAAGTAACCAGTAACAATAAAATCCAGTTACTTTCCGGCTCAGATTTATAAATAGTCACCTGGAAAAGTTTCTGCTTGAGAAATGTAAATCGTTACCGTTTTACTTAGTTACTCCCCAGCCGCAGCAAAATATTAGATTGAGATGGGGACAAAGAAAGGGAATTCCCTCGAAGAACGCGAGGAAAAATGATGATGGAGTTCTTCGTCTCGCTCCATCCCATTTTTCAAAGTTTAAATCATTTAAAGATACATTTTTGATGGGATGAGATTCACTCCGAAAGCCAAAGATGCATTATTAAGATCTCGTGAGAACCGTACGGGGCCGGCAGTGTTTTCAAATCACCTCGCACTCGGAACGGTCACTCGGGGAATGAGCCGGTTGGCGGCTTGTCGGCGGTTTGTCGGCGATTTGTCTCGGCCTGTCGGCTGCATTGAACGTGTCCATCTGGTTTCGTCAGCCGAGTTCACTGCGTTCCCTCGTTTAACGTTATTACGAGTTCGCTCGGAAATACGGATTAACGGGACTACTAAAATTAATTTAGGATTTAATGGCTATTAGCGTCCTAATTCTACTTCGACTTCGATTGAGATTCACGAAGAACTCGATGAATCGTGGCATCGAGCCACCTTCTCCCGTGGCGAACGGCCGAGTCAACCGGGCTCGGTTGCTCGACCGACTGAGACCGACGTTAACCGATGCGACGAATCGGTGAGAACTAAGCGTGGCTCCATTTTTTTTTTTTTTGTCAGAAGGAAATTTCTGCATGTAGCGAGTTCACCGAGACAAATGAGACGACAGGCGTGCGAGTGGACGACGACCAATCCGGTAGATAAGGCCATGTCGATGCTTTTGTCACGGTGCCATCATTTTCTTCATTACTCTTCCCGTTCTAAAAGACGATGTCATCGAAGGAGAGAGAGATTTATTATTATTTTCTTGCTGGGGAACT